TGCTAAAAATACATTTGGATTGGATGAGGAGCAAGGAACAGCATCTAATTTATAAACATTTTTTCTTGTATAATATATTGAAATATTTGTGTTTTAGGTAAATATTTTTACTTTCAAAAAAGTTTATTGTTGTTGGTTAACGTGGTTCTGAATTGAAGCATTGCTTCCTTCCCAGAGGGCAGAAATTTTAATATGTTATTGATAAGTATATCCGTATTAATTGTGATGAAGGCAAGTTAAAGAATGATTTTGCATCTACAGTCCAGTATGAAAATGAGAGTGTGAATGAATGCAGCTATCAAACGATTGCATCTTGTTGGTTGATGTAGTGAGTTAGATTAATTTCTGCTAAATCATGTTAATTAACAGGAAATCATTTTATCAGGATGTATAGGTAGCAACAGGTGTTTCATTTGTTTAAATATCCAGAAATTAGTAACTGGCTGAGTTAGAAGATAAACTATATTGTAATCAGAGTCTGCTTTGTTACTTTAAAATATGATTGATTGTGTAAAGTAAGAAGCTTAAGTAGCTTTAGTTTTACTAAAGGTACTTTCAGGAGTCATTTCGGAACACTGAAAGGGGCTGCACGTAATTCACATTTTTCTTAGTGCTGAGAGTTCAGAGGGTGATTACTGTGGAACCAGGGGTGCCAAACTGGCTGCAAAGTCATTTCCAGTTGCCATAGAGAATGTGGCTCCAGAGGACACTGGGGAGAGGAGCCCCCACAGGTCAGAGCTGTGAATTGGGCATCTGGTGGACAAGGTCCAGAGTCTCCTCTTCTGAACCAAAGCCAAGATACTGCCTTTTTTTCTTTCTTTCTTTCTTTTCAATAAAAATAACGATTGAGGGTAATTTTTTTGATGAAGAGACAGATAATGAGTAGGAAAGAGATTGGTGCAGGTAGTCTGATGTAGGCTATGAAAAAACAGTGTGTGACTTGGAGATGAAGAGAAGATAAAGTTGAAATGGGGGTATGAAGAAACCAACAATGATGGTCAGTCTGCTCTGGGATGTTAAACAACATCCAGGAACCTTGTCAAATGACTTGCTAATAAGTATCCATAAAGTGCAAAGATGTTTTATTGTAAGCAAATTCACAGTTAATAGGGAGTGTGCAGAGCTGTTCTCCTAAGTCAGCTGGAGTACTGTAACCCCTGCAAGATGAAGGCCTCTGCTGGTAACCAGTACAGGATCATAGTTCTCTTGATTATTTTTAAATGTAATTTTATGATCCTCTGCCTTTGGGTGAGCTTTAAAAAAAACCCAAACCCCACCAGTGATAATTTTTAAAAGATTGATGAGAATTTGTGCAATACAGTATTTATCAAGTATTTCAGCACTTCAGTCCTTATTTTATAAAACATCAGGATGCTGTGATGATGCCTGTGTTTGATGTATCAGAAATGGTTTGATCAGCATTCAGGAAGGTTTACATAAGGTGGTTCTTTCCTGCTGCACTTTACCCCGGTGTGCACTGTAAAACCAGTACCAGAAACTGCGTTGTGTTTCTGTCTGGAGCTTTGTACCTGGCAGCATATTCCTTATTTGTATTAAAGTAATGTCTATTCATCCCACTGGGGCTTGATTATAAGTGAGGCACGTAGGGGAGGAGGATCCTTGTCTGGAGAGCTCCCAGCATGAATAGGCAAGCTGGGTGATGTGGGGTGAGAGGCACAGGGAGGTGAAGGGAAAGGTCCTACCAGTGTTCACCCAGTGAGGTAGAACAGAGCCCAGCTCCTTTGGCTCTGGCTGTTGTTCTCAGGTTTCCTCTCAGGTGCTGAGTTATAGGTAGTGGAAAATCCTGTGCATTTGTCAAAAATTAGTGTGTGGTATCAAGAGCTATCTTTATCTCTTCTCACTGGTTAAAAAAGAAAGGATGGAGAACCTGAGGAATATGTGAGTGCAAACCCTTCTGCAGGCCCTTGAAGACATTGCCTGTTTTCTTGGTAGAACAGCACCAGACACTGCAGGTTTCAAGGAGGGCAGGATTTATCCCACTATGGGGAATTTAGAGAAAAGCCATGTTTTGCATGTGCAAAAAAAAAAAAAAAAGAAGGCACTGTGCTTCTATTCCATGTTGAAACAATCATGGTATAGTGCAGTACAGGTAGTACAGAGGGCCAAGTACTGGCTCCTGTGGGTCTGAAAATGGTGACTTTGGATAAGAAACTCATATAATATTCATATAACCTTTGCATGATACCAGTTATCTGTTAGACTGCATTTCTGACCTGCACCTCCCAGGAAACGAATACTTACTCCAGTGCAAAATTTCTTATTCTGCAAAGCTTGACAACTTCTTCTGAGATCACTCTGAGCCAGTTGGCCCTCTCTTAAATATTCATCAGACTTCTGATAATTGTGATAACCCTTATAGGCTGGCAAGCATGGCAAATTAGCAAAAAGATGATTGATCTTTTTTTATATGCAGTTTTATCTTCAACCTTTCCTGGATATATGTTATACTATAGTAATAATTTCTTCTCTAAGGTATTTGCCAGTATCTGGATTTGCACATCTATTTACAGTTGCCTTGAAGCCTCATAATTACAATACAGCTGAAATGTCCATTTTCTTTCCCTGACTACAAATAGGGATCAATCGAATTTTAAATGACTGCTTACGGGCTGGCTTCCGATCATGACCTTTGTAAATGATTAGAGCTCACCACTGTTGCTATCTACCTTGAAAGGGTAAGCGGGCAGGTCTGTCTAACTGGCATTTAATCTGGAAGAGAGCCAAAGATATTTGAGCTAAAAACCTAATATGAGTTGGCAAAGAGAAGTATGTATAGACCTTTGCACTATTATTTAGATATTTTTCTGCGTTTCTTTTTTGTAGTTAGGAGATTCTTTTCTCCTCTAGATGTGATATGTATTTTTAGGTAACATTAAGCTGGAGTTAAGGTAATAACTGAAGTTGCAAAATATATAGCTTAAAAATGTGAAAAATGGGGTTTCAAACTTTTAATTACTGAATTCGCTTTTTCTGAAGAATGTGAAAACATAGAATGGTTTGGGTTGGAAGGAACCTTAAAAATCATCTAATTCCACCCCCTAATTCCCTGCCATGGGCAGGGACACCTTCCACCAGCCCAGGTTGCTCCAAGCCCCGTCCAACCTGGCCTTGGACACTTCCAGGGATGGGGCAGCCACAGCTTCTCTGGGCAACCTGTGCCAGAGTCTTACCACCCTCAAGGGAAAAATTTCTTCCTTGTATCTAATCCAAATCCACTCTGTTTGAAGCCATTTCCCCTTGTCTGTCACTACATGCCCTTGTAAGAAGTCCCTCTCCAGCTTTCTTGTGAGACCCCTTTAAGCACTGGAAGGCTGCGGTGAGGTCTCCCCAGAGCCTTCTCTTCTGCAGGCTCTCAACCCTTCCCTTCCCTCAACCCTTCCCTTCCCTCAACCCTTCCCTTCCCTCAACCCTTCCCTTCCCTCAACCCTTCCCTTCCCTCAACCCTTCCCTTCCCTCAACCCTTCCCTTCCCTCAACCCTTCCCTTCCCTCAGCTTTTCCTTTCCCTCAGCCTTTCCCTTCCCTCAGCCTTTCCCTTCCCTCAACCTCTCCTCGTAGCTCCAGCTCTCTGCGTGGCCTCCTCTGGGCTGGCTGAAGTGGGTCCATGTCCTCCTTGTGTTGCTGGCCCAGAGCTGGAGGCAGCACTGCAGATGGGTCTCACCAGAATGGTGCAAAGGGAAAGAATCGCCTTCCTCACCTGCTGCCCACGCTGTGGGATGAGCCCAGGGCTGTGGGATGAGCCCAGGGCTGTGGGATGAGCCCAGGGCTGTGGGATGAGCCCAGGGCTGTGGGATGAGCCCAGGGCAGGGTTGGCTTTCTGGGCTGCCGGCACTCACGGCCAGGCTGTGTCGAACTTCTAATCCACCAACACCCCCAAGGTGTCTCCTCAGTCTCTCCTCCACCCAGCCTGTGTTTTCCCTTGAGTTTGCCCCAACCCAGATGCAGGACCTCGCACTCGGTCTTGAACTTCACGGGGTTTCAGGGGCCCAGCTCTCAGGCCTGTCAGGGACACTTCTGTTTATGCTTGTCAGTTGAGTTTTGTTTTAATGAAGAATTGTGCCTGTATCATACAATGTTTTATTAACACCACTGAATTTCTTGAGGTGTTGGTCTGTGTGTTGCTGCTGAAGCAGGAACAAGTATGACATCAGTGGGATTAGAAAGCAAACACCTCCTTGCAATTTACTGAGGGGTTTTGCAAACCCAAAGTTTTGAAATTAGTAAGAATTGTTGCTGAGAGCTATGAATGCTTTTATGTAATTAAACAATATACTGTGTTACCTAATCAATTATTCTTGTGTAGCATTGATGATCAGAATATTTATTAAAGTAATAATGTTCATGGGACTCTGACATGATTAACTCTCCAAAAGGATTATACAGTTTATAGTGAAGATTCAATCTTGTGCTGACCAGAGTATTTTCTCTTATTTTCTGTAGCATGCTACTTTGTTACATGATGCAGCTGTCAGGTTGTTTAATTCTTGGCTTCAAACTAGTCAAATGTGTTCTAACCTAAAGCTTAATCCCAGAAAGCAGTTGTAAATTTGAATTGTAGAGGTTTTGTGTCAGTATTATCTTCAGCTAGTGTTTATATAGAGGTGCTTTATTAATTTAGATTTTTTTAAGAAAATATTGAGTATTTGAAACATTCAAAATAAATACGAGATGAAAAAAAATTTGAATGGGCATTTACATTCTTCATGTCAGTCTTAAACTGGAGATACTTGCTAAGGCAAGTACTACTGTGAGAAGGATGGAGTTTCCAAAAACAGCCAAGTTATTTGGAAGCAGAAATCCTCTGAAAAGTCATTAGAACTTCTGTACCTTCGTTATTCCTCAATGGCAGGGCTGGGAACAGCAAGGTGCTGTCAGGGATTGCTCACATGTGACTTTCTACCTCATGCTTACAGGCCTGAAAATAACGTTTTGAAATGACAACAGAATAAACACTAAAGTGGGTTGTTTCTCTCTGTACCAGATGCAGCAACAAGAACTGGCCCAGATGAGGCAGAGGGATGCCAATCTCACGGCACTGGCAGCCATCGGTCCCCGCAAGAAACGGAAGCTGGATACACCTGGACTGCTCTCCATGGGAGGGGAGGTATGTGATGTACAGAGGGAGAGAGGTTATGACTTCTAAACCTCGTAGGAGCAGCTGGAGCTGCTACATCCTGATGTTTTCAGTGAACAAGGTAACCTGAAAAGGCACATTTCCCAATTAGAAGGACCGTGAGTCCAGTTTATCTTGCCACAGTTAAAACACCATCTTCTCTTAGTTGTATTTTCAAGTATTAACTTTCAGCAGATAATTAAAGAATATTTTTAAAATAGTTGAATGTGAAGTGTGTGTCTTAAACTACCACTGCCTTTGTACCTGTTTCCTGCTCTGCATAATCCGAAGGAAAACAAAAAAGAGTGGGGCATGAAAAAGTATCCAGGAAAATATAACTGCAGTCTTACAGCTGGAACCAAGAGCTTGTAGTAATACCAGTAAGTGTGGGTTTGTGACCAATGTGTCAAAACTTCTTACAGAATGTCAGGTTGTCCCCCACCCCTGCAAAGAAAAGCTTATGATCATGCTCAGTTGTATGAAATTGTAATGAGAATACTGTGCTCCAGAAGTAGAATGGGATTTGTCAGCACCATGTTCCCTTAGATGGAGCAGTAGCTGTGCTGCACAGTGGAATGCAGGTCATCCAAAGCCTTGGTGTGCTAACCAGGGCGGAGAACTGTGGTGCCAGGGCTGCAGTACGTGGGGAGCCCTGAGTTGCTCAGCACAGATATAGTTGGGTGCTTTTGTTCCTGCTCTGCCTACACAGTGGAGTCAGAGGAATTGTCCCTATTATATGCCTGTTCTGAGGAAAAGGCAAACATTTGGTTTTGAATAACTAAACTAACAGTTTTGGCTCAGACATTTGACTGTCCAAATGCCAGGCATTTCCAAAGGCCTTTTTGTTTCCCATTGTGGATAGCTTTTATCTGACTCCTCTCTTTTCGTGTGCTAAGATTAGTGATTGGGAATTAGCTGAGCTAGGAACAGAAGTGGATCTTGTTTACATTCTAAACTTGACTTAGGACTCCAGGTATGTAGGAGGTGCTCCTGTTTCTGGTAAAATTAGTTTCAGACTAAGGGAGCTTCCTGTGATTTGTGTTGTCCTGCTATTCCCTTCCTTTCAGTCTCCCTCCTTGTCACATGTTCGGTAAAGAATTTTGTTCTCCATATGCCCCTCTAAGAAATCTCACACCAACAGGCCAGAAGGAGCTTTGTTAGAAGCTCAACTGGACAGTGATAGCTTTGGCTTTCACTCATTTAAAAATACTAATAATACATGGATCCTTTCAGATTTTACCAAATGTACCTTCCTTGCTTGTGTTCACTTGACCAAGGGAACATTTTCTCCCAAGTATCAGAATTTGACTGTTATTGTCTATTGGCTCTTTTCAAAAAAAGGATCCTTTTATAAGCTTTTACAGTTTGATGGACAAAATTGTGGGCACCTTCAGTGCAACATTTTATTCAGAGCTCTCTGCCTGAGTGGGTTATTGATGAACAACTTCCCTCTCTCCCTGGAAGCTCCTTATTTCCTGGTACAATGCTTCAAGGAAAGATAAAGGTCTCTGGCAAATTTCAAAGGCTTCTGGAGATTTCTGCTTCCTTTTGCTGCTCACCCAGCCCAAATTTTGCTAAACAACTGTATTGTTCAACTGGCAAATTATCCTTGAAGTTTTTGCCTATACATGGATCTCTTGGAGCCGTGAATTGTGTGCCAGTTCAGACGGAATTGCTCCCATCCCTCTTCTCCCAGCTTCTCACCATCCTGGCCAGCTCACAGAGATGCCTGGCTGCAAGCTGAGTTCGAGGTCTTGGATGCTGTATCTGCATTATTCAATGTCTTTCCTGGGGAACAGGGCCTCAGGTGCTGTTAGAAGCTGTGTCACACGAGCTGGCTGCTGGAAGCTCCCTTTCTGTTGTTCTTCTGAGCTTATTTTAGGGCTGCTCTGCAGAAATAAACTCAACTCCTCCAAGATGCTTTTACTGTAAAAGGTAGTGAAACTCTGTATTGTTCGTCTAAGATTATCTCTTCTTTGGATTTCTGGAGATTATAAACATTGTTCTGAAGCTGTTCTGTGGTACTGACATCCACCTTCAGATCTCTGACCTCCACTCTGGTCTATGACACTGATTTCTCTAAGCAGTTTCTAAGCTGCTTAAAGCCCTTGCTACTGATAATCTCTGCTTGCAAGGTCTGACTTGGCCAGAGCTTCCTTGGCTTGCCTTTATTTTTTTTTTTGAGTCAAAATAGCCAGTTTTTGAATTGAAGTTGCTGATCTCCTCATTAATCTCTTTTTACTTACATGTCTGCTTTTGTTGCAGCTGAGACACTGCACATTTGCTGATCCAAAAAGAAATCATTTACAAATCATCCCACCCTGGCATGGTGCATTTTTTTCCCTTTCTGAACCAACTCTTGTTTGGTGTTTTACTCAGTTGCATAGGCCATTTTTTAATGAGAAGTGTTGGGTTTCAGTCCAGCTTCTTGTTTTAACAGAAATACCGGCTCAGAATTTCTCTTTGGAAATGGGATCTTTTTAATGATACCCTTTTGATCTGAGCAGGAGGTCAATTTAGGGACTACTGATGGATATCCTGTTTAAGAGAAAAAGCTGATGGAAAAGCTTAGTGTTTCTGTGTTCAAGTACTGATTGTTATATAGAGAGAAATCTCTTCTACAGCTTTTATAAATGTGAAAAGGCTTGTACTCATAATTGCCAATATTTTCCACCAGCACTTTGTTTGAGAGTGTTTTCTTTAAACTTGTTCTCTGTGTCATGTTACCAGTGCTCATTTGGACTTCCTTGCTGATTTTCAAGCCATAGCTAAATAGACTTTTTTTTTGGATGGGAGGGTTATCATAAGACCAGGCCCATCATTTGTTTCTCCTGTGCTACTACAGCTAACTTTTGTTTGATTACTTTTACTTGGGGACATGGAAAATGGGCAGTTTTGGAGTGAGGTTATTTTTTCACATGCTTTTTTAAAAATGTCTTTTCTTCTACATGCCACCGTATGAAAATGCCTTTCCAAAAAACGGGACAAAATATTTCCTGGAAAAGTGGCTGAGCAGGGCTGGATGTTGTGCAATGACCCTGCCACCACATGTGTGAGGAGTTGCAGACTGTCAGTGGCCTGAGCCAGTCTGACTGTGATCCCATTCCAATCCCAGGCAGTGCATTCCTGCTCCTTCCCTTTGATTGGCTCTGGCTCTTGTTGTACCCTGAGCTCACCCCTTTCCATGGGATAAATAGGAAGAAGACTAACCTAGCAATAAAAAGTGAATAGTTCCTGCCTAGCTTGGTGAAGTAGTTTGGCCTAGAGCCCAGTGAGCCCTGGAAAGGAACTTACAGCAAGGCAGAGACAGCAACCATGAGATCACCTGCGCTTCATTCGCTTCCTTTCCAGTGCCTTTCTTGTCTTTTCGTATTTTAGATGATCTGCTGCAAACACAGCTGCCTCTGTAGCAGCAGCAGCTCATCAGCAATTCAGCCTGCTTATTATTATAATGTGGTTTAGATCAAGAGGGAAAGAGAAGGGGTAAAGAGGAACGAGATACCTTTGGAAGGATTCGGCTTCTCTGCCTCGCAGAGTTGAAACTATTGCATTTGCACAATTTTTGGGGGGGACTTTTCATTTATTTAATAACAGTAGACAGAATTTTTTGCAAAAAGTTACAACTTCTTGGAATTGAATGTGTGATTATCCAGCTGGGTGACCAACAGTCCTGAGCCATGTGCATGGGCACACGTGGCACCGCTGCAGCAGAGGCAGAGGGAGGGCAGTGGGTCACATGTGCAGGTTACAACATACAAGACAGCAACCACTTCAGCTCTTTAGTGAGCATCCTTAGGCACCTCTAATGTCAGATTAAATGTAGGAAGTTTGGAGTTGTTTTTGTTTACCTGAATTGCTTTTCGTTTGATTTCAAATCTTTTCAGGTCACATTTTCAATTTTTTTTTTTCTTGAATTTTAAGGTTTTTAAGAGTTGGGATTCGAATTTGGTTTTGTTTATGAAAGAGGTATTTTCACATAATTGTGAGAGTTAAAGCTTTAAGAAAAGGATTAATCATCCCAGGACTAGGTCAGGTAGCTTTCACAAGGTAAGTATCTGGGTATTGCTAAGGTGGCATGAATGCAGAATATGCATATTTCTAAGTCCCTAATTTTTTATTATGGAATTAAAGTGTAGGAGCTAAATGCAAATATTTTACTGTATTTAATAATAATAATAATAATTATTATTATTATTTGCTTTTTCATCGAGACCTATGGCTACTACCCCAAAATACATAAATACAGAGTATATGTTTGAAATATCTGAGGGTATAATTTGTTTAAATATCAAGTGAAAGCCCTCTCCTGGTACTTGCTGGCACAGATGGTTTTTGAATACTGAGCTTCCAAAGGCAGCTTCAGGGCTAGTTCAGTGAATCACCACTTATTGAAGACAGTCATTTTAGGGATAAGAAAAAACCCTCTTTCTCACAGCAGAAGAGCAGTCATCTTAAGAATATTCAGCAAACTATCCCAAACACCATCTTTCAAAATGTGCAGGACCATATGTTGGGCCAGTGCTCAAGGGAGATCTGATCCTCTCTGTGTTTGCTCATTCAGTATATTCCAGCCATTATATTAGTCAAGAAGGATAATGCTCTTGCAGACCTGGAAAGTCCCAAAACTACAGTTAAAACACTGATGTTTTGTGTGGAGAAAAACTAATTACTGAAGTGATTGTGAAATGCATTTCGGGTAGGAGGCACCACATTTTTTAATTAATCTTTCAGATGGTTTAATTTGAGTATTTTAAAGCTGTTTTCATGTTTAGGTTTTGTGTAAAACATGATTGAGATTCTGGTTTAAGACCTGTAAATCTGTGTTGTACCAGGGGCTTCCCAATGCAGGCATAAGAGAAGTTACTTAATACTCTTGTCTGTCAGGTATTTATGCCATCAGTAACTCCTGATCTCTAAGTGAAAATGTAAGGATGGATTCATGACTATTGGGAAAAAGTTCTTTTGAGTGCAGTCTCTTTTTAGTCATCCAT